ACCATTATCACGTCGAAGAGGCTGCATGTAGCACAAATGATTCTCAGGCTTTGGTGAACGGCATAATTTGCAGTAAGAAACACCGCATTCGTGTCTCGCACCAAATTTAACGATGCGACCGCATCCGTCGCAAAATCGCACGACGTTGCAGATACTTTCAGATGATTTACCATCGTACGATTTTACGCTGCGATGACGCTCGAAACACTCCTTACCGAAAAATGCACGATTACACACGTTGCATTTTATACTTCCGGACTGCTTACACGACAGTGAAACATCGCGGGCATTTATTTGGACAGCGATGACCTGTTTTATCGTTCCGATAACCTATATTACATGGCTCGCAATAATTCCTACAACCCGCGGCGGCATTTAAATTTACAATAGGGTTATAATGACGTAAACGCTCATAATACATTATATTTAAGCGTAACGAGGGTTCACGATCGAGAGAAGCAAGTAGCGCGATTCTATCGTACATCGGTTTCTCACCGCGCCCGAAAGTATTGTAATTATAAACTACAATCGCGATATTATCAACTGCGAGATATCGTTGAAAGCGCTCGATTTCCGGAATTCCACAGCCCTCTCCAGTTATCGTAACACCAGCGTTCCTAGTTAATTGTAATGCGAACTCACGTTGAAGCGGGGATTGCATGTGTCTTATATTATTCCATTTTTCATGTAACTCACCCGTACGTAAGTTACCGCGTTCGCAGTAAATTCGCGCTATTACGAGAGCGCGCGGAAAACATAAATTATCGGAATTATTTATTGTTACTATTGAGCGCTTCACAACGTCTTCGTTTGTTAATTTAACACGTCCGCGACTCGAAGGAACCGTGACATTAAAAACACGAATGTTAAAGTGTTCCGCGATATCGAGCCCCCCAGCACTCTGCGCTATTGAACTCACGAGTTTCCAAATATCCTCATACGACATGTCTCTAGCCGGACGAAAGGATAATCCTGCTGGGCCCTGAGATAAATTCACCGAATGGAAAGACATTCCCACATAATCCCCCGGTTCGCATAAATTTAACGCATACGCGTGAATTTCACGAAACGCATTTTCTAATGCGTGATAAATATTCGAACCTTCACGTATCGGTCGTATCGCGAAACTCACTTCTCTCCCGATTTCCCGATTATCCTAAATTGCCGCATATTTTCCGTCAATAAATCTACGTAATTAAAATTAATATTGCCGACCTCATGATGTTGTTGCTCCTCTTCCTCCTCCGGCTCCTCTTCACCAACTTCTGTCTCCGACGAGGGATTACAGCGTTCTTCACCGACGACTTCCTCTTCATTCTCATCCTCGTCAGTTGCTTCCTCAATATTACGGAGTTGCGTTGCTCGTTCTTCAGGAGTCACTTCTTCATTTTGACCACCACCGCCTCTCTGCATTGTCGAAGCAAAAGAAAAGTTTAATTAAAAATATCTACGTTATTTTTATTCTTTTTAAAATTTTGTATCTCAGCTGGTGATGTCATGATATCAGCTTCGCTGTCGTTTTCATCGGAACGTGCTCTTCCTAAAATTTAATATTTTATCAATATTGAATATAGAATTTGTATAAAGATTAATATTTTTATTTTATTTTTATGCGAAACTTACTCGAAGGTCCTGTTTCGAGCTCTTCTTCAGCCGGACGTTTTCGAAGCTGAGAGGGAGTCTCATGGTCATCAATCGCAGACGTGTTTCGATCTACAAATTATGATTTTGAAAATTTAGATTAATCACTGTCTAGCGTATTCGATTACATTACATTTGCACAACATAAATAAAAACATTTTACCTACCATTTAAACGGTTTCCTCGATGATTTGATAGCAAGAAGGCTATAAGGCCGTCTGCATCCTCCTCCTCGTAGTCAAATGGCACGCGCATTTCTATTATCTCACCCGCGATATGTAACAACTCGACATAATTGCCGAAATAACCTAGCCTGCAAGTATCATTTTATGGACATTATCTTTTAATGTATTTCGAAATTTGGAGTATATATTTTCCTGCTTCTAACGTTATCTATCAAGATGACTGGGACGAGAGATCAGAAGCTGAAACTAAAATAATATTTTTATTTAAAAAATAGACAAGGTATACGTGAGAAAAAGGTTAGAATAATAATGCAAGTTATAAGAGAAAAAACATTTATATTAAATTATATTATAAATTATATGCAAGATTATATATATTAACATATAAAATATAGATATGAAATTAGTATCGTTATATTCATTATTATCGTAATATCAAAATATTTGTTATTATAGTTATTATACATATACTAAGTTTGAATCATAAAATATAGATTTCTTATGAAGATATAAAATATAATCACATGAGGAGGTTATTAAATTTAAGTATATTTTTTTCCTCTATATATATATATTTTATAAATATATATTTACTTACTCATGTAAATTAATGCTTTTTTCTGTGGATAAATTTTTGAGAGTAACATCAATTGCTACACAACATGCTTTGGGTTGTACTAAATGTAGTATACAACCAGTGATAAAATTATAAAAAGTAATCAAATCTGCAGAAAAATGTACGCCAAAACAATAGTGTAGCTTCAACAAAATATCAAAAGCTTGCAAGCCATTGCTTCCAATTTCCATCAGATGATCATCTGCCTTAATATAATAGTTTCCTTTTCTTTCCTCAGTAGTCTTACTACATATTAAATAAGGTTGCACATTTTTGTTCTTTTCATTTTGCGAACATTCATTTAAAAATAAATTATCTTGTGCCTAAAAGTATGAATATTAATTAATTAATATTTTACCGTGATTCATGAATAAAAATACTTTACTGAATAAAATGATATACATTCAATTAAATACATACATTTTTAAATATGAGTAAACTTTTATGTGGGATTGTTAATTTTGAACATAAAATTGAATGTCCCACTAAGTGCCTTTTCTTCTTTATTGTTGCTATCTCTTCGTCCTAAAATATGTGTATAAAAACTTTAAATTAAAATATATTTTTTATTGGATTAAAATATTTATATATATATACAGAGTGCGACATTTATAGTGACGCGGGCATATTTTTCGGAAACGAAGTGAGATATCAAAAAATGTTTCAGACAAAAGTTGCATGGTTTCGAGGGGGCCACATGATAAAAATATGGATTTGACCTTAAGTGGTCTTAGATATGGTAACAAAATCAAAGCTTTCATGTTATCTGTACAAATAAAGTAATGATTATTAAGATATATATTTAGAGAAAGTATCTTGTAGATTTTCTTAATTATTTTATTACCTTCAATGTCATTAACATGTAGTAGTAAATCTGGTGCGTTCAGAGAACAATATTGTAAAATTCTCGGCACATAGAAAGTTGTAAATTGTACCAAAAATGTATCGTTATCTGGAAATTCGGCTAGAAATTCTCTGTGAATCTATAAAAAAACATTAATAATAAGAAACAACATTTTTATATTAAAGACTTAAGAAAGATAAATAAAAAACTATTTCACCAATTCGCCATTATAATCCTTAAAACGTGGATACATTTTTAAAATGTCACTCAATGTCAATTCTTGATCAGATTCTTTCACCTGTCTTTGACGATTACATCTCGTTTCATCACTTAGTCGAAATATATCATCTTTATTTGTTTCATTCGGCGTTTTTAATGCAAGCTCAGCAACCTATGACAAGTGATAATTACTGATCTAATACACTATTTCATCATTTTAATTGTATGTAATTATATTTTCATATTTACCTTCAATGCAAATATATTTTCTTCCATATAGTTATTTTGTTTTACATCTTTTAATATCCTTGGTTTTTTTTATTTTCGATCCTTTAGAAACAGCTCTCTTTTTTTTGGATGGACTTAAATGTTTTCTCATGGTTTTTAAACGGTACTCTATAAAACCCTGATTTGTTTTATTATCATAAAAATGTTCCTAAAACCAACATAAAATAGAAAATAGATTTATGTATTCCAATTTTAAAATAAAAAATTTGCTTACGTAGCCGTTTTCAGAGAGAGTTGATCGAAATTTCGGAAATGCGTAATAATTTATCTCGCTAATTCGGTTTTTAGTCCATGTGATGGATATCTTTAACAAGAAAAATAAATATGATCAAATCTAAATATAATATTACGTAAATAATGTTTATACAACAAATCAATAAGAATATCGTTACTTACAAGTTATTATTATTAATTTTTATTAATCCCGCGCAACAAATTCTTATAAGTTCTTGTCTATGAACGGGGTGGATAATACCTGAATCTAAAATATTGATAAGCGATGGATTTCTTTTAGATTCTTTCTCGTTTTCTTTAATCCAGGATCTAATATCAAAATCATTTGAATCTCGATGTGTCTGTAAACAACAATTATATATCATAGAATGTCAAATATAAATATTAAATGTACATATTTAATATAATCATTTTACCTCCTTGCTATCATTTTCAAAAGAAACTAACACTTTTTGGCATGTAGAACTAGACGAATTAGTATTTTCTGTCGTAGGTAAAATAGTATTTTCTTTATTTTGTACGTTTTCATTGCTGTATACTTGATTCTGCGTATTTGATTGTACTATTACTTCGTCAAGTAAAATTTCCTGTGAATGCTTTTATTCATAAGTATGATAACTTGTACTAAATATAAAGTATATAAGAATAATCTTTGCTCTTACCAGATTACTGCAAGCCTTAATTAAATTTAATATTCTTTTCCTTGGGCCAGTCTTAATTTTTAGTTCTTTTAAATCAAGTTCAGTTAGCTCCATGAAAGCGTAACCATCAACTCTTTCATCTAAAATATAGAATTTGACTTAAAGAAATGTGTTTAAAAAATTAGAAACAATGTAATAATAAATACAGCGGACATGTACTGATTACTCTGATGTCTCCATATCTCCATATCTTGATATCTCCATAACTCTCCCATATCATTTATAATATAATTTTATAATTTTATATTGAACAAACTTATACAGTGTAGATTAAATAAAAAACAGAATATCTATATGTACAAGACACTTAGATGAATGAATTAAAATTTTAATATATGTAGATAGATATATAGATGAAAGTTAAAAAAGTGCGATTATATACAAGATATAGTCATAAAACATTTTTATAATAATATATGATGCAGAACAATACAAGACAAATTAGTCTTAAAATCAGTCCATAATGCAAATGGTTTCAGATCACATAACTCATCAGTGTTTACAAATCTATATGAATCTAATTTAGGATATACATAGTAAGCATTTAATGATTTATTATAACCAAGATACTGCCATTCTTCACACCACAACCACAATTGATCATCTTTTAGTATTATTAATTCTTGAATACAACCAAATGTAATTTCACTATTTTCTTGTACTCCATTGTCGATAGCAACAAACAAACCTTTTCGATATTCTGTACTGTAAACCTTTGCTTTATCAACTTTAATAATTTTGTCTTTGCCTGATATTTCATGTGATATAATTGCTGCCAGCAATAAGTATTTTCAACATAAACTTTAGATCCGTTAACAAATTTTAATTTGATTCTCGGCTCTTCATTAGTACCCCAAACTGCGCATTGAGATAACTGGCAATAATTAATTAATGTTTTTGTAATATTTTTAAAATTTCATACAATAGATGCATATTTTTTTAAGAAATTATGTTTTGCTTCAAATCGTAAACAATTTAGCCAACGTAAAGGACCAGAAAAAGATATACACTGAGGGTAGTGAGTTAAATGATGATGCTTATTAATTGGACTTATAGCTGGAAATAATTCTCGGAATAAACAATTGTATTCCTCAATTAATTCTGATAAATATGGCAAAATAGAGCGTGTCAATTTTGGAGCAAATACTATTTCGTTTATTCTATTCAATATTAAAATTAACGATAGATATTTATCATTTTCAGGTACTAAATCTGAAACCACGAAGGGAAAAACTTTTAATAAACACCATGTTTGCACAGCAGTTTGTGAAAGTTTGTAATCCTTTTGATATTTAATAGAAGCTGAAGAAAAATTTACGGAAGGTTTATTTTTATTTTCTGGTAAACCATATCGAAATAAATTTATTCTGTTGTTGAACATATCTATGTTAAAATTATAATCATCACAAGTGCTATAATAGTGCAAAACCAATTTTAATTCCATTGGTGCGATACCTTCTAAAATATCGTGCATAGGGTCAAAGACAAAATTATTTGTACAATGAAAAAAGCGAGAAGAATGTAATGCACTATCTTCTAGAATACCTGACTTTGTTTTAGAATTTTCAATTTCTTTTAATGTTTGTTGAGTATTTATTTCTTTTAATTGTTTGTCATGTAGCTGCTTTGTACGTAAAGAAACAACATTTAAATTTCTATTATTCTTGAAGTCATCTCTATTGATCATACAAAGTCTACAAAAATATTTAGCAGATGGACTTAAAAATCCTAATAACTGATGCGGGGCCAATCCATCAGCACAAACTGCAGCAATACTTGCTCTTAATACGAAATGTGTTCCATTATATATAACATTTACACCATTGTCACTTTCAAGTTTATTTAAATCCAGCAAAAATGGTTTAAATATAGCTTTCATGCCATATTTTTGAATATCAGCAGTATGACACAAACTAAGAATATGAATTCCTCCCAAAGAAGAGTTAATATATTGAGGCAAATTTTGAATTACAAAATAAAAAGCTCCAATTTTGTGAGGATAAACTTTAGAGCCCAATGGATTATTAACAACTACATCATCATAATACAGTTGAATTCTTAATGCGTCTGGATAACGTAGAAAAAATGGATATTGTTTATAACTGATTCCATCTCTAAAAGTTACAAGTAAATTATCTGAGCTGTTTTGTTCAGAACGAACATAATTCCGCATGGATGAGTGAGACATTATTAATTTCAACATTTCAATAATTGGGACATACTGAAAAGTCTCATAAATTTTTTTTTGTACCCACATTTGTTCTTTTCTATCAAAATATTGCTGCATTCTGAATCCAAGAAGTATTTCAACTGAGTTTATCATATATAATGATAAGTGTTCTTGACCACTTTTATCTGAGCTTGTAAGGTATCAGTTTTCTCAAATAAATTGTCAAAATTTAACTTATTTAATAGTTCCTGAATATCAGAAGATTCTATGCTTGTATTCTGTTTTTTACAAAAATTAAACATTTCCTCACGAATAAAATCAGAAATATCAGAAACTAAGCACTGTGCTGCATTTGTTATAGCAGCTATAGCTGTACCAGTAAAATTGGACAATATTCTTAAATTCGCAATAAATTTTCGTGCACTCTTGGAGAGATCAAATTCTTTTAATGATTCTTAAAAATTAATACTATCATAATCTTTATTTTCATGTATTTCTTCTTTTGAGAATTGTATTTCTATCTTTTCTGAAGTATTGGGATTATTAGATTTCATGAATGAGTGGATATCTGAATAGCATATCTCATCACAGACAACATGCCATTTTTTAATGTGACGAAGTAAAGAATCAAATCTTAAAAAATGTTTATCACAATTTTCTTGTTTACAATAAAACCCTGATGAGTAAGATCTGCTAACTATAATAGCATGATGACGACAAAAATGTAAAGAAAATTGCCTAATTGTGGTTGATAACGTTCCACATTTAAAACATTTAAGTAAAGTCATTGTGTTTGTTATAATATTGAAAGTTATATTTTAAATTTAAAAATAAAAGCAAATCAGAAGTAATATGTGAATGTATTTTTACAAAAACGGATCACTTTTTAATCCACTCTGTTTCGGGTATCTGAAATACAAATAAAAATTGCACGTGAGAAAATAAAAATAAAATTGAAATTATAACTGTAACGTTATAGCATGTAATTGTGTATATATAATAAACATGTAATAAACCGCTTTTGCGAGGCGATGACGGATAACTCGGTCGGGATCCGGGGCTCGTGAAAGAGGGTATCGAGATACGAACGAAAGTAGTGTTTAAGAAAATATAATTTATTGCGTGGTAATGTGTGTTTGTACAGTGTGCGTGTATGTGTATAAACGAAGTGTGCGAGTGGGCGTGTGTATATGTGTGCGTGTGAGACGTTTGACGAGTGAGTGAGCGCGCAAATGTATAACAATAATTAGTTGGGCGCAGAGTGTCGAATGTAAGCTCGTTATGTATGAGCGAATGATACAAGCGTGTGAGTGCGTGTCGGTGTATCGCGGTGTGTGTGAAGCGGTCGCCCGTACGGCGATGCGGCGGTGTGCGATGTATAAATGATTATAATCGTTTATATATAGATATTATATAAATGCGTGTACAATGCTGAACGGATCGTGGTGCGGCTTCGATAAGCGCGTATAGCGCGTTCTGTATTACGTCGGGAGGGTGGTCTTTCCCCGTGGAATTGCAGGAGTGCGACGGCTGACGAGAACACCCGTCGATAGTAGGGAACTCCCCACCACTGGCAGATCGCCGTTGCACGTAGGTGGTCGGATTTCTGCGAGGTGTCGAGAACTCTTGACGGGGACGAGTACGCCCGTTCCCGTTTGCCTCTTTTTAATCGGTTTCGGAAGGATCGCTCTCGGAGATGCCGCAAACTCTCGGCGGAGGCTGAGTACTCCCAACCCCGTTTTCTCTCTCTCTCTGAGCGGTTAAGGATCTAGGCGGTTTCCAGGCGTCTTACAGACTCTGGCGGTGCGGAAGATCAGATCTCGATATTCAGAAACGCGCTCTATTTATACCCCGCTCGTCGTTTCCCGCCGGTGGGTGACATTGCTGGGTTAGCACGCCGTCTTTGCCGCACCGTGAACAGAATTTTCGCGGCGGGCGTTTGCAGTTGAAACGTGTATGACCCCGTTGTTTGCATCGCCAACAACATTCCTCCCGGTTGTAGGCGGCGGCGATGATCGGTTTCGACGCTTCTGGCCGGCGGTGCGTCTGTTCGGCCGCGCACTGTTCGTCGATTTCTTCCAGCTCGGTGGCTCGTGCCTGAAGGTCGTCTACGACGCCGGCTTCATCATACGTGATGAGCCGCTTTATCTCCGGTCGCATGTTTTGATAGACGCGCTCGTACTCTTCTTCCGGCGTAAATCCGCCGGCCCGTCGCATCAGCGTGAGTATATCTGCGACATATTTCTTGAATTTCTCCCCCGGTTGTTGGCGGCGGTCGGCGGTCTCGCGGCGGAGGACGGCCTGGTATCGGCGGGGCAGGAATTGCGCGCGGAATGCGCGTTCGAAGTCCCCCCAGGTCTGCCATCGATGGCGGGTGTTGCGGCACCACCGTAGGGCATCTCCCCGCAGTAACTCAGGGAGTCCCAGCAACATCGAGGTCTCGGGGTATCGATGTCCGGCCTTCAACTCCTCTAAGCGTTCGAGGAAGTCGAACGGGTCGCGTCCGTCGAAATGACACCCCCATTTGCGCATCTGACACAATACCTCGGAGCTAGTGGGGGGCGCGGGGGTCGCGGTATGGGTCGGTGGTGCGGTCCGCGGGGGTGTATCGGCCGCGGTCGTGGGTTCGTCGCCCTGCGCCCCGAATTCTTCGGGGTGCTCCTCGACGTACTCGGACATCCGTCGGCGGATGTCATCAAGCGTTCCGGACGTGTCCACGCCCCGGCGGACGGCGGCCTCCACCAGTTTTGTTTTGTGTAGATTATAAATCCACCTTTTCATTGTCGAGTCTCCCTATTCTCTCGTCTCGTTAAGGTAGGGTTCGTGTCTCGGTACGGACTGGAAGCAGGTCCCTGTTCGGGCGCCAATGTAACAAGCCGCTTTCGCGAGGCGGTGACGGATAACTCGGTCGGGATCCGGGGCTCGTGAAAGGGTATCGAGAGACGAACGAAAGTGATGTTAGGTACAATATAATTTATTGCGTGTTGTGGTGTATATGTACAGCGTGTGTATTTTATGTGTGTAAGCGTGTATAGGTGTGTGAATAAATGATTATGTGTGCGAGACGAGTGACGAGGGAGTGAGTTCGCAAACGTATAACAATGATTAGGTGAGCGCAGCGTATCGTATGTAAGATCGTTATGTATGAGCGAGTGATACAATCGTGTGAGTGCGTGTCGGTGTAATTCGCTGTGTGCGTGACGCGGTCGCCCGTACGGCGATACGGCGGTGTGCGATGTATAAATGCTTATAATCGGTTGAATTTAGATATGATATACATGCGTATACAATGCTGAACGGATCGTGGTGCGGTCGTATCGGGGCGGTGCATTCGATGCAACGCACGGATGCGTTGCGCGGTGTGCGATTTCGGCGGATCGATAGAATGTCGATTATAGATCGCGGACAGCGATTTCGGCCGTTATCTATCGGGCGGTAATTTCGGTCGGCCCGGTGGGCGGTCCTTCGCCGCGTACTTATTGATGGCGGCTATCGGTCGGTGTCGCGGTAGGGATGTGGATCATCTCCCGGCGCGGGACTTAGCGCGCCGTATCAATGGCGAGTCCGGGTGTCGTAATGGCGGTCGCGGATGTCTTCGATAAACGCGTATAACGCGTTCTGTATTACGTCGGGAGGGTGGTCTTTCCCCGTGGAATTGCAGAAGTGCAACGGCTGACGAGAACACCCGTCGGTGGCAGGGAACTCCCCACCACTAGATGAGCGCCGTTGCACGCAGGTGGTCGGATTGTTTCGAGGTGTCGAGTACTCTCGACGGGGACGAGTACGCCCGTTCCCGTTTGCCTCTCTTTAAAGGTTTCGGACGGATCGCTCTCGGAGATGCCGCAAACTCTCGGCGGAGGCTGAGTACTCCCAACCCCGTTTTCTTTCTCTCTGAGCGTTCTAGGATCTAGGCGGTTTCCAGGCGTCTTACGGACTCTGGCGGTGCGGAAGATCTGGTTCTGATGTTCAGAAACGCGCTCTATTTATACCGGGTTTCTGCGCGCGCGTCTGCGTAATTCGCCTATTGTTCTAACGGTATCTGGTTTATCGTTGAACCGGCGCGCGCGACTCGGGTATTTTCGGTAACGGTCGGGCGGTTACCCGAGCGCGTCGTCGGCTCTCGATGTTTTCGCGCGCCTAACGGCGGTTATATGTTTACGCGTTTCTGATGTTATTTAAAAATGGGCGCTCAGCGCCTCCGCATTTGCCCGACCGGTGTTCGTCGGGCGGCGGACTTCCGGCGGATCGGCGGCCGGGTACGGTCTAGTAACGATGGGGGAATGCATCGTTACAAACATATTAATTATAAATTGTATTCTAACGAATCATATTCTAATCTTTTTGTGTGGATGTGAGCTATATAATCTTATTTTTATTATAATGTTACTCTAAATACTTATTAAAGTAAATATTGAAACTATTAATATATTAAATTTTCACTAAACATACGTTATATTGAGTGAGTGCACAAATTTTGATGAATTTCATGATATAGAAAAATGGACCAAGTAATTTTATTAAGAATGATTTATTCATTCTAACCGACGAGTAATAACAAAATTTTTTTTTTAATGCATTTTTTAATGCTTTAAGGATTAACGGTATAATGTGCGTGTGTATATGTTGTCTTTTTTATAAATTGAAATCTTACCTTTTAGAATGTTGACGGCATCTCAATATTTTATATTTCATTGATATAAAATATTGAAGAAAAACTTTTATTTATAGAAAAATATTGTCTTATTATTATATTTGGGCATTCTTATATACGGACGCTTCTGAGACAAAACATCGCGCTCCTTAGTTACGCGTATCTGGCGACTCGTCGCTAACGTACGAGCGGTGAGTGGGGGCAATAGGCGTGAGCCACGGAATCGGGCCGAAATGTGCAACTAAATCCGAGCACTGACTTAGTAAAATGAATAAGTCGTTTTTAATAAAATTATACTTGGTCTATTTTTCTATCACAAAATCCATCAAAACTTTTGTATCCGACATGTTTATAGTCACATCTTATATTATATTTAAATCGTTTCAAGTTTATCTTAAATTACTATAATAAAATAACCTTAAAAGCATCTTAACATAAACTTTACACAATATTAAATATAATAAGACTGGACTATACTCCGTCCAGCGAGAGAATGACCTCGGCCTGCGCATAGGCGGGCAAAGTGGGGAGAACATAGCGAGGTACTCAATATCGTATACGTAGATACGGCTTCTATGGGTGGAGACCTGCGCGAAACGGACGAGTTTTTGTCCGACCCGAGATCATTCTCTCGCTGGACGGAGTATATATAAATATCGCTCACAGAATAAATTTTTTTCTTATACAATTTAATTTCCATTTTTAAATATATTTTTATTATACACAAAATTTTTATTCTTTTTAATGCATTTTTTAATGCTTTAAGGATTAACGGTATAATGTGCGTGTGTATATGTTGTCTTTTTTATAAATTGAAATCTTACCTTTTAGAATGTTGACGGCATCTTCCGAAATTCCACTGCTTAATAAAAACTGTTTTAAGTTTTCTGTGCTATTTAGAGTCTCCTAATGAAGAAAAATTTAAATATTTCAATATATTTCAATATTAAATATTTCAATAAACACATAACTATAACCGAGATCTCACGACGCGTAGTTCGCATTTGTCGAATCAACGAGCTACAAGTCATTATAAGTTACCTCTTATTATGGCTGTTTGTTGATCGATATGCAAGTCGAATTTATGATGAAACTACATAACACAGCAAAGTACATGCTGTGAGATCTCGATTTATATACATGATCTTTTTATAACATAACTTATTCTAGAAATACAATCTAGCCTAAACACCATTTTTCATATTCGCGTTAAATCGGTAAATGAATTACATAAATTCTTATAAGTACTTATCTCTGGGAGAAACATTGACATTTCTATATCAATTATAGTTTATATATGTATATATATATGTATAATCTTTTCTTATCAAAGGACACGGATATGTCTCGTACCAAGTACACGCGCAACGACAATGATACCGAGACAATGATCGAGAGACAGCGAGACGATAGTGTTTTTTTTTTTTTTGTTAAAGGCGGACTCATGCATGTCTCACGTGCGCTTCACTCACTCTTCACGAATAAAAATATTCACTCTATAATACATAGAGTGACAATATTCACTCTATAAAATAGAGTATACATAAAAAGTGGGAGAATTGACTCCTATGAGTGAAAAATCACTCTAACTCGAGTGATTCGACCAGTCACTCAATTTTTCGAGTGCATTTTCGCTCTAAGAAATTTAGAGAGTATATAGCACAGCGAGTATAGTATTCGAACTAGCACACGCAAATGCCCGAAAAACTGAATAATTTATTTCCGTCGACTCGTCCGATAACGCTGATAAATAGCGTCCACTATTTAACGTAGGCGACAAATTTGAACCTATAATTATGCACTTGCCTAACACCTCTTTGAGTCCAGCCATTTTGTCACTCACTCACAAACTACACGATATCACTATTTTTTCGTGGAACGACGCGCGTTACGCGTCGGATGATGTCAAACTCGAAATTACCTTTTTTACTTCGACGCGGAGAATTTATTTAAACGCATATCCCCACTTTTTTCCAAAAAGGAACGCCGTTGAAAAATTTAGAACTTTTTCTTTCTAGGTAGTTAGATTAGTTTAAAAGAAAATAAAAGAGCGCCGCCAAAAAAAAAGTTCCCAGATTTTCATTCCGGGTGTTATTCATTTCTTTTGAGAAAAAAGTAGACAAAAAAATATTTTATTTTTATTACGTTATTAACAGCTATTATGTATTTAGTTTTATTACTTTTGTTATAGCGGTCCCTAAGTAAAAGCTTTGTTACGAAAAACTTTTTTAAAAATTTTCGTAGAAGAGACAGGATTATGTCAATTAGAAAATTGCTCCCTTATAAAATTTTTTACACTATGATCTCTTTACAATACAATCTATTATATAAAAATTTATTGCACAGGTGATAAACATTTATTTACGCTTTATAACATATTGTAAATGTATTTAGAGAAAAAGTTTAGAGAAAAATTTTTCCCTTGTAACGAATCTAATTTCTAGATGATTCTAGATGTTTTTCCGCGTAATTTTTAGCAAGTTGAACAAGATTGAACATGAAAAATCACGATTTTTCCTGTTATTTAGTTGTCTATGCAAACTTTTCGAATCCTTCATTCGAGTTTGCCCGTACGCAATCTTCATTTCGGCTACGATACAAGAATTCGACATTGTTGTGACTAGTGTTCTCTCAGTTTTATTCAAAAAGTGATAACAATGACTGCCACGAAAGAAGTTTCCAGTGATCAAAAGATTATCGTGATGCAGAAAGCAACTTTTCTCGACATGGAAAATATTACAAGATGTGTGGATGCTCGATTGTCGCAGATAGTTTCCATCACCGACACCGTCAACACCTGCGCCAATTACTTAATGAACGAGATAGAATTAAAACTCCCATCAGTTTACATAGATCGTGAAATTATAAAAATCATAGTTAGTGGTAATTTTGAAGAAATTGAACGCAATGTATAAACGCAAATAAGGGTTTTAACATTTTTAGATGTATATTTCAATATTGTATTTGAAGAATTACTTTCACTAGGATTTAATGAAATTGCGCGTATAATTTTAAAACGCAATTGTTAATTTTACGAAAAAAGTAAAATTTATTATCAATAAACATGAAATTTTTTCCAACTTTGAAATTACAGAGTATTTTTCTTTTACTCCTCTTTATTATCTCCTTTACTTCTTTCTTAGCGTACATAGAATATTCCATCGTAAATTAATATCGGATGATAGCCGAGCATTAAACGAGCGTCTTATTTCTAGCATAAGCACACATAGAGTACCGTCTATAAGCTCGTAAGCAGCGGTGCTCAAAAAACGCTGGCGCGAGCGCATCCCCGCGAATACGCTTACTAGCATCGTTCCCGCGGCTACTTATCAGCTAATCGCCCGCGGTGCTTTCCGTTTGTACGCGTGCAAGAAAACGCTAGTGCGAGCATGCGGCCGCCGCGGTGGGCCCCCCGGAGCGCGGATAAGCTTATTACTCAACACATATCTACGATAAATATTAAACATATTCGATGCGCGTGTGTATTTTTATGTTATTGTTATTAAATATTCTTGATTACTTTTTTATTTATGAGAGCGCACGTAAACGACAAATCGTTTATTTCGCAAAATAGATGTACGGTGGAAACATCCTTGGACGTCGATCGTTTGCGGGCCTACGGGATGCGGAAAAACAATTTTCGTGAAAACGTTTCTTCGACATTTATCCAGCATGTCCGATGTTCGATTCGAGAGAACCGAGGGATTACCGCGCCCGGAAGATTATTCCAAAGATCCGCTCTCGCCAAAATTAATAATAATCGACGATCTTATGAGGGAATCATCGTCGTACGACGCTATCGTAGATCTGTTTACCAAAGGAAGCCATCATAAGAATCTCAGTGTTATACTCATCTCGCAAAATCTCTTTCATCAAGGTCGCGGACAACGTGACATATCTCTCAACGCGAATTACATAGTAGTTTTCAAAAATCTGAGCGATCGCGCTCAAATTCGGCATCTAGCGCGTCAAGTATATCCTGACGATCCAAAGTTTATGGAAGAAGAGTACTATGACGCTACATCGAGACCTCACGGGTATTTATTGCTCGATTTGAAACAATCGACTCCAGACGAATATCGCTTTCGTACGTGCATCTTTCCCGACGATACTCTGCATTACGCTTACATTCCGCGCAGATCAAACAATAGAAGTGGTGGTGTATAAAAGGTGCAAAATTCGTGTTCGCAACTTGTCAGTCGTGTGATTAAGCGTAATGGTGAAAAAAGAAGAGGCTGATAAAAAATTGACGACATCAAATAGAGCAATAATATTATCTATTACGTCGGTTGATAACTTGACGAAGAAAAATACGGAAATATCAGATACGGAAAATGTAAATAGTAATAATAATTCAATACGGACACCGGGAACACCTCTATCGCGACTCGACGCGGAAATGTGGCGTATTCTTAGCCTCGAGACCCCCGTCGACGAGGACAAAAGATGGAAATTGTATAAGGAAGTACTCCAACGTTATCTTCACTTTGTTCGGGAAGCGAAAAAGCGCTTACGCAATGATACACAGGGTAACGGCGAGGACAATAACGAGGAGCAGAACGAAGACACGAATTTGGATGTAGGCGATAACGAATTTATGGAAACGTCAACTTTAATTAGCAGCAACCGCGGTGACGGTAGCGCTAATAGTAGTAGTAGTAGTTTCGGTAAAAAACGCGCACAATCGGCTGAAATGATCAAAAAAATACTCGACAACGTACCAAAAACTTATCGCGACAAAGCACGTGCGCTATTAAAATACTTGATCGATATTCCATCATCTAAGATTAGCTGAGATAGACGAGGACTCGTAACTATAGACGGCACTGTCATAGCGGGTTCGAATATCGCGGAACTTATAAACGATGCGATACGTGAGAGAAAAACAGTAAAAGCAACCGGAAGAATTCAGTTTGCCCGATTGCTGCACGATATAGATACACCCTCCAATCTCATAGGAAATCGTGATTTATTACATACGTTTGCGCGATCACATCGTGTTAAAATCGTGTTACCGCGCGGAAGTTCCACTCCGAAAACTTCGTCCGAGCGTTCAAAGTCGTACAGACGTAAGGTAGACGAAACGAATGAAACCGAAGGAGATACGCTATTTGTATCCGCCGACGAGGACGAAGGCGACAAAACATTAACGAGCTACGCAGATTCTCCGACAAAGAAAAGGAAAGGATTGCTCGACTGGAGCAAACTCGAATTATGGAACTCGAAAAATTGTATTACAGTTCCTCGCACTATGGCGGCTATTCGGCGACGGATAATTTATCGCGAGCCGCTAAACCGAATTTTTCACGTAACGAGGTCATCGACTGGCTTAAATCGCAAGACGCATACACGTTACATCATCCGGTACGTCGAAAATTTCCACGCTTACATTATAACGTAACAAATATCGATGACTTATGGGAGGCTGATTTGATCGATATTTGTAATCTCAAGAACTATAATGACGGTTATTCATACCTATTAACGGTTATTGACGTACTTAGTAAATTCGTTTGGGTAGAACCTTTACGCGACAAAACAGGGGCCTGCGTGGTAAAAGCCTTTCAACGCATATTCACGAGAAACAAAGAACGCCTATCCGTATACCTGCAGACCGACAAAGGTAAAGAATTTATTATTCGGCATGTATAAAATTTCTTAAAAGAAAAAGATATTCGTTTTCGCGTAGCTCGTAATCCCGATATTAAAGCAGCTATAGTGGAACGTTTTAATAGAACGCTTAAAAAACGAATGTGGCGTTATTTTACGCACAAAAATACGCGACGCTACATCGATGTTTTGCAGGATATCGTTCGTGCTTACAATCATACCCGGCATTCCACCATCAAAATGCAACCTGCAGTAGTTACGAGGGAAAATGCACGAATCGCGCGTGAAAATATGAATCGCCGC